AATTTTCAATGATTTAGGGGAATAAATTCTGTGCACGTTTGAACAATTCAAAGCTAGGATATTAGAGTAATGATTACAAAGCACAAAATCCTGTTTTATGCCCTTGCAGAGGGTATTATAATTTTGTGATGATATTATATACATAACTCATAGTAGGAGACTTCTCCGATCTCATAAGGTATATATATTCTAGATCAGCATCAACAACCGATTGGATCTAGCCTTGGTCGTCTGTCTGTTTCTATGCGAACTAGTCACTCACACTTGAAATTTTGTATAGGTCCGTCTTGGTGTGGCCATCAGTACATATGTCGGAACGGGTCGGCCCACTATATCATATAGCTGTCATAGAAATGATCGAATAATAGATATCCTTACTTTTTGATTAATTTTAAAACCCGTATTGGGGTGATCGAAATCAGAGCCAGTCGTAAATATATTAGAAAGTGTATTTTAAATTTGCCCTAATCTAGGGCATAGAACAGAGGGCATATGGCACAACTTGTATATAGCTTACAAGGACTCGTTTAAAAAATAAAATGTTATTTGCAAAACATTTGTGTTTTTCAAGATATCTTCTCCAAGCCGTAAGCAATTAAAATCTTTCCAAAATTCCTCACTTATCTGCAAAGCCATAAACTATATGTCCACAAAGATATAAAATCTTTCCCATAGCGAAAATAGTCATTATTTCCTATTGCTTCAGTTTTTTTAAAAAAATAAATTATTGTAAAACCTGTGAGATTTTAAAAAATCAACACCAAATCATTTAAGGAAAAGTGAAAGATGTATTTTAAACCATATATATAATTAAAACAATTAATAAATTTTCTTAAAAAAAAAAGTAAAGCAAAGCTGAAAGCGAAAACAGTCCCAATCTAAACTAAAATCGAACTTTATTCGAAAAATAAGTAAGAAATAATCAAAAAGCCTTTCACCTAGGTCATATTTTTTTCTACTTTCTGTTAACAGAGTTCGAATTGCAATGCGCTGCAGTTTTGTGGCTTCTTTGGTTGCATGCCGAACCTCAATTAGCTGTCCTATTGACCTGTTTGCGGCTTTCTGTTAGACAATTTAAGTAACTTCCTACCTTTTGCGTTTCTTTGCAGGTTTAGCTCTTTGGCAGAATGGCGCCCATGCCACGCATTCAATTGGCCAACAACAATGCGGCCATTAAAGCCACAACTAATAATTTTCTCTATGCCGAAACAATTTCCGGCGACAGCAGCCCAACGCCCAGCAGTCCGCCTTCGAGCACAGGTAAGCTGCAAATGCAGCACATAAACACAGATTTCCGCTAAATAACTATTTCCCTATCAATTCCACAGCGGGCGTTGCCAAATCGCAGTGCTCCTCACTGTCTGATGGCGAATCCTTTGAGGGATATGGCGAGAACGAGTACAGCTCACAGCTGCGGGCGCCGGGCAGTTCCGTCAATGGCAACATTAATACCAGCAACAACAGCGGCAATAACAATCACAGTGTGAGCAACGGCAATGTCATCAGCTCCTCACATGAGCACAGTGAACACTCAAATGACGGCAATAACAATTTGAATGACAGCGCTGGCATTGAACTCGATCTGGCGCCTCATGTTGTCTCATCCTCGCCCAAGGAGTAAGCTAAGCTAAATTTATATACTATACCCGCAGAGCTTTATTAACCCATTGTCTATTATTGTTGTTGCAGTGATGACGAGCTCAACATCATGCCCCGCGACAATTGGGCCAGACGCAGTCTGAGACGCACGCCTACAAGGTAACAGCAGCAAAAGTGGGGATTGTAGACATATTAAGTCGGAGTCTCGGCTGCCATATAAGGCCAATGCGATCCGCAATTAGTTATGGAAAGCTTGAATGCAGTAGAAATTTATGTTGTCCCCGACATTTTGCACTCACATAATCGTCGCGCCTTTTGACGTAATGCCCATAAAATGACCAGTTTGCCAAGTCCAAGTAAATTCAGCCAGTTAGCATCAGCCAGTCAGTGTCTGTCTGTCTGTTTTTTTTATTTGTGTAAATCTTTTTGAATATTTAACCTTTTCTTTTGTACATTTGACTACGCTTGTATGTATACAAAATGTGCATATACCCACGGACTGGAAAACCAGTTTTTCTATGCCCCGTGTTTGTGTCTGTCTGTTTGGGCCGTGATTCATGCGTGCCGATCCAGTCGAAATCGCAGTCGCGGCTTGTAGTCAGTGCGCGATCAGAGAGCGCTCATTGTTTCCGCTTATGTTCAACACACACTAGATGAAGAGAGCCGAGAGAGAGAATGCAGTTGACAGAGAGAGAGAGAGAGAGAGAGAGGTGAGTTGTGGTGAACTTTAGTTTCAGCTGTAGTAAGAGCATTTGTGCTCTCTTAAATTATACAGTATGTGGGCTGTGCTGTAATTTATTAACATAGAAATAAATGTACTCAGAACTTAGTTCCATGTCAATTACAAAAGATTAGGATAATATATAATTGATTATAGATAAAAATATAAGCATAGGAAGACAATATTATATTGAAATCCGTTTTTAAAGCTATGAAGGGGAGATTAGAATTTGTCATAAAATGTGATTTTGAAAGTTGCAGGTCCTTCTGCTTGGTCGTCTGTCTGCCCATTTAATATATAAACTATTACTACACAAAAACTTATTGCAATATATCTAAAACAAGCACGTCCAGCAGAACTATAGATTAGTAGGGGTCAATTCGATTTAATAAACAACTTGGATCTGAATATTATCCTTTAAATATGAACAACCTGTATTAGTTATAATTATATTATAATGCAATTATAATTAAATTATATAAAGTAGAATTTGAACTGAAGACAGAATAGAAGGAAATAGTATTACTTACCAAAACTGCCTTGAAAATACGATAAGCAGAACTTTGTATTCTCTCAATTTGAGAGAATTTTATTTCAATAGCTTTCCCCTAAATATCTAATAGCGTCTACAAATATTATTTGGAGCCTTACATAGACTGATAACTGGTATTACTATATTTTAAACCGCAGAGCTTTAAACATCCTAGAATTTAAGATAATCAAAACTTTGAGCTCAGCATGACAGAAATTAGATAGTATTTTGTTTAAAGGGTTTTCTAATTTTATGATAGCCTCCGCAAACATTATTTGGAGCATTATAAAGGCTGATTCCTAGAATTTTGGTAGAACGTAGAGCTGTTAACAACTTAGGCATTCAAAATTTTGGGCTCAGCGTGAATGAAATTTGAAAGTATTTTATTTGAACAGCTTTCCGCTAAATATCTTATATTACTGGGACGTAATTAGACGTAGATTGATATCTAGGGTTACTTGAAGATCTAACTTAAATACCATGCAAAAGTAGTCTCATCTAAAAAGAGTGCAACTTATTTAATAGGTTTACAATCCCTTGCTTCCATTTAAAGAAAATGGGACACGAAATATTGCATACACTCAATTCTATATTGAATTGAAACTCTTAATAAATATCATATCATATATATTTCTTACAGCAATCCCGATAGTTTATCCCAGCGTCGTTGGGGCTCCATGAGACAGTAAGCAACATTTATTTATTTCTCATATTTATGAGTTTATGCCTTACATTTGGGTTGCTTTTTGGTTGTCATGTAGAGTTTCATTTGGTCCTAACCCAATCTCATTCATTTTGTGCTCATTTCGGTTATGGTTATTTAATTTGCACTATTTTACTATGTCAATAAGATAAAATGCTTTTAGGAAACTGTACAAAAGAGCTTTGAATATGTATTTGCAAAATTATTTGGATGGATATTTGGTCAAATTGCTTTTAGTAAATTAACTAAATTAAAGCCAGCGCAGCTTATCATTCATTTAATCTTTTTTGGCCCAATCGAATATCTTTCAATTGTATATATTGAATAAATTTCAAGTAATTTCATAAATTTCGTTAATATTTTTTTTTGTCTAGTCCACACATATTTATGTTTATTTTTGTTTTTGCTGTCAAGAGTTTGTTAGCTTATAAAACGGTCTATTTCTCTGGCATTTAATAGACCAGTTCATGGCAAGCAAATAAACTCGACAGATTAATTGCTCGAGATTAGAGACTGAAGAAGTCGTACAATTTGTAAGATTTTCTCTTAGTTCTCTGGATAGTTTGTGGCATTTCCTTACAGCCAGCTTTGTTTATCACTTGTTCGCTTCCTGTTTCTCGTTCTGCCTGCCATTTCAGTTAACTTGGGAAACGCTTTTGTCACCGCTTCTGGCCCTCATCGCACGAAAAGTTGTTCATCCGCTTTGGGACGCTCGGGTTTTGTGCCTTGTTGCAAGTGAAAAGGTTGAAGGTAGCCGCAGTTGAGCCTCGAGCTGGTCTTCAGCTGCCGCTTCTTCTGTTCGGCTTGACTTGGCTTACAAGTTTTGCAGACATTTTGCATTATTGTTCGGGGCTGTCATGCCATTGGAATGCGCACAAGAGAGCAACAACTCGAAAGAGTGCCAGAGCTGGTGAGATAAAGTGAGAGAGAGAGAGAGAGGGAGAGAGAGGGAGAGCTGTTACGGAAACGAGTTTTGCTTGCGGCAACTCTGTCAACTCTTTGTTTTGCTTCTGCAACAACAGAATTTAGGCCGCATTTTTGTCAAGCTATCCACAATTGACCCAAAAGCTGGACACACACACAGGAACTGCAGTCCACAGTTTTGGCCAGCTCAACCGCAATTAGTTGTGAGAAATCTTCATCTAATTGGATGCACACTGTGCAATCAGTTAGGGTTTAACCTTCATGCAAGTGCCTCGTAAATTGTTGGCTAAGGTCTGAACTTGCCAGCCATTGCATCTGGTTATTCCCACCCAGAGCCCGTCGACTCTTACCCAGCTTTAATTTGTCATGCTAATGTTTCTTTGTTTTTGCATTGGCTGAGAAAAAAAAAGTAACATTGCTCTGTTGCATTCATCAAAGTCAAGTGCACGAATAGCACAAAAACCTAATTGATGTCGAACTAGCATTTAAGAGCAACTGTCTTATAGGGGAAACTATTGTACTTAACATGCCTGAGAGAAATTCTCTTGTTTATTTATATTCAAACCCTAAAACTTAAAATTTCAACAATTAGATGAACAAAAACGAACTCAAAATCTAAATTAAACCTATGTCAACTGGCCCACTATGGCAATTAAATCCTCCATTTCGGATACTTTTTGGGGCCAGAGTTAGACTCGAACAAATGTGGATTATGAAATTTTAGACACGACTTTAACTTGCCCGTTTGCGTGGACTGGCTGACAGAGTTAAAGGATCGCAAAGAGGACGAGTCGGTTGAGGCTTCCTTCAATGTTACATGCGGGACGTTCCCGACGGATTTGGCTAGTGCATCTGGAATTTCCGAGCAGTTTTCCGATATACAGTTTTCGTTCGTTAGCCCCTCACATGGCTCAGCCAGGTCTTCTTTGAATGTTACACGTAGACCGTTCCGCGTCAATTTGCTTTGTACACCGGGAACATCCTCGAAAGATTCACCTGACGTGGCATCGTGTTGCTTAGTTATAATTTGTTCACTCGGCAAGCCCTCGGATTGCTCAGTTAGGGATTCTTTCAATGTTATAGTCGAACCGCCCCCCAGTGATTTGGTTGGAAACCGCTGCAATTCTGAGGAAGTTTCCATTAAAATATGTTCATTCGACAAGCAATCCAAGTGCTCCGTTTTTCTGTCCCTCAATTGGATCGCTAATAGCTCATCCATGCTCTCCTCGAAGCGTCTCTGAATGAATTCCTGTTTGACGAAACTTTCCTTTCGGAGCTTCTATAATTACCGATTACCGTCAGAATCTATTATTTATGGTCGCCATGAACTTACTTTCTTATGTTTATATCCTATAATCCATTTGATAAGCAATGTTGATAAAACGAAAAAAGCGCATAACATCCAAAATATTCTATTGCGGTCCAAAATCAAATACTTAAACATTGCATACGCCTTTAAAAATAACCAGCACAGCGTGGGCCACCCCTGGCAATATGGGGTCATCTTTATAGCCGTCTCGAATGTGATTACGGTATAGTAGTTCCACATTGATCTTTGGTTAAAACTTCGAAAATTTAAAAACAATTTCAATTTTATCAACAATTTTTCTTTCTTTCAAAGAAAGTATTTGAATATATTCTGTTTACTTAAACGTGAAGTGTTCATGCGAAGCCTAAGCCGATATATAATAGGATGCCTACTAGGGGATCGGGGGTATTTGATTTGTTTATGACATTTTTTAAATAATTTTCATATTTTCTTGGAGACTTTTAATTATATAGTCTACCTACTCTGTCTATTCCAAATTGGCTGCATTTAGATTTCCACCTTTCAAAGAGCCGAAATTATAGAGTTTAGGCTCTATCAATTTGGCTTAAGGTAGCAGCTTGATAAAGCTTGGTAGTCGCCTGCAATGCTAATTGGCAGCTTTGGCTTCAGTAATTGGCCCACGTTTTACAGTTTTTGGCAACACGCTTAACCGTTGGCAAAGTGTCAGCATGACAATTTGGCAGCCAAAAGTTAACTTCGAGTATAACGTATAAAACCCAGACTGTCGCATAAATAGGCATGCCGTTTGTTTTGGCCAGGTTCTTATCTGCAGCCTGCCAACATGTTGCCAACGAACATGTTGCAAGTGCAGCCCATTCTTTTTTTTTCGTTAGCATGCAAAGTGGAAGATGTTTGTTGCTGTGAGTGCTGCCAGATTTTTTACATTAGAGATTGATAAATGAATAATGCGTTGCGTTAGAAAATGAATTTGGAATTATTAAATTAAATACATTTTATTCCTTCTTATTTTGTGTGTTCACTGTAATTTAAAATTCTTAAAAACATAAATTCAACCAAATATGTATTTACTATATTTTTTATATCTGTATTCATTTATCATTATTAATTTATTATTTTATTTATTTATTTATTATTTATTATTATTAAAAGATTGTTTTCTGATAAGAAAAAAAACAACAAAAACGTTTGTTTTTATCAAAAAGCAACCTTTTACATAAGCCTAACGCAAACAAAAGTTACTTGATTATGAAAACCTGTCTGTTTGATTTTTAATTAATTAACACAATTGCACACATGAATTCTTGAGTAACATTATCCATTTTATTTCACTTATGTTTTTTCACGATATTTATGAAATATAGAGAATAGCCAAGATGCCGGCTCGATTCATATCCACCCTCGCAGCAGCTACCTGCTAACTCCTTTAATCTTTATATCTAGCTGGCAACGCTGTTTCACAGTCTCCCACGCACCACACTAAATAGTTTCTGACGCGGTTCTCTTCTCACGCCTTTTCTCGCTTTGCACTTGTTCATAATTTTGTTTTGTTATGTTTTGCCAGCTTGTTGTTCGCTCTCTCTCTCTCGCTGCGGCTCTCTGCTGCTATTGTTGGTATTGTTGGTTGCGTCGAACCTGTTTGTTAGCCGCCTTTTGGATTGACGCTGCGGCATTTTGCGTTGATTTTTAGTTCGAAACTAGCTGCAAACGTGTGCGGTTCGCATTTGTTTTGAATTCGGATTTTTTTACATTTCTCTCGTTTGCCGGATTTTGTGTGTGTGCTGTTTAACATCCGAAACGCATCCGTCGTCACACACTCGGTTCCGGCGCGGCAATATAAAAATCTACACAAAATTCCGCAGCAGCAGTATAGAAAAAAGTATGTGAAAGTCTTGCAACAGCGTACAACGCGGCGTATGCGAAACACATTTGCGATGAGCGCAAAGACGAGCTGCGAAAATTATATTTTAAGATAGTTATTTGGTCATAAAAGTCGCTTTCGCAGCACGTTTAGTTGTTGTTTTTTTTTTTACAAAGTATTTACTATTTACTGTGAGTTATTGTTTTTAAGCAGTTGCTTTGCTTGTTTCTATTGTAGCTTACACTTTGGTAATTTACGGCGTCACGCCTTAATGACTGCAACAAGCGTCAACAACTGACGAACAGCTCAACGCAGTTCTGTTTTTTGTTGCACATGCTTATAGAGAGACGCACACACAGTCTCGTGTATTTCCACCTCTGACACGTTTGTCTACCTAACAGGCACACAAACACACACACACATACACGTGACTAGATGCATTGCCCACGCCCTTTTATCAGAATTGAAAATCAAAATCTTGGCCAATGTATTGTTATAGTTACTTAAAGCCTAAACAGCTATGTTTTTGGCTGATAGATGGAAACTTTGAATCATCAAGTTTGGGCTAAATGGGAGAATGTTGTAGCTTCTGCTAGCTCCATCTAAAGAGAGAGACGACGCCTCGATTTAGCTAGCTTGCCTTTGTCTTGTGTGCATTGCACACCCTTTGCGCGATGCATCAATCAAAATCAAATCGTTTTATAGCCTTAATTACATTCAAGCAGCCATAAAAGTCGGTTAACAGTTGCTGCACATTTTCATTGCTAGCAGTTGGTCAGCCGGCGCAGAGTCGAAGGCGGCTTTGGCGCATTTCGGATTTTCATTTTGCTTTTGATTTCGATTTCATTTTCGCTTTCCGAGACGCTACTTAACGACGTTATCAGAGCTCAGAAAATCACAAAATGAAAAGCGCGTGTCTGTGAAGTATTAGCCATATAAAAAAAAAATAAAAGACAGACCCAAAAGACGCTGCAGCTGCAATTGTTGTTGCTCGTATCGAAATGATTTGTAATGAATAAAGTGAAGTGTGGCTCAAGTCGGTGTTTGTCCATTGCGAAAGTGTGTCTAAAAAAAATTATTAATTATATTTTGTGTTGCTTCTGTTCAATTTGTAAAGCTTGTTAAATTGTGCTTGAAAATTGAAGTTTAGTTGTGAATCGAAATACAGCTGAACAGGGTTGGCAAACGCTTGAGACAACCCACCGAGATCTAACTAACAATTTCAGGTGTGAACAAATAATAAACAAGCGTGTTTTAGTAAAGTGTAAACGGTTAAAATATGAACCTGAGATCAATGAGAACTATAATAAATCAAAGCGAATCAAAGCTTTGTATAGAAAACATGTGTTGTCCAGTGTAACAAGTGTCTAATAAGTATCTGTCTAAAAAGTATCTCTCTTAATCAAGCGTAAACACACGTAACTTAATGAAGATACTTTGCTAACATACAAACATACAAACTTTTAACGGTTTTATCTTATCAAGGAAAACACATCTTGAAGGCAATTTCAATGAAGCGCACTGCGGCCAATGGCCAAACAATAAGCAAATGAGTTAACTGTTAACTGAAAGATAAGCGGTATAAGCCAACATCTATATATACAATTACAAAACTCCAAAGCAACAATCTTTCATATGGATGATGAATATTATGAATATTTTCCCTATGACCGCAGTCATATGAGAAAAATGTGCGTATACTTAACGATTTATGGTTGCTGTTTGTTTGTGTATTTGTTTGTTGATGTTGTTGTTGTTGTTGCACCTAATTGTCATGTAAAGCATTGTTAAATGTATTCTTAAGAAAGAAACCGCCATGAAACACGCCCACAGCAAATAACACCCACATAACAATAAACACTTTCGCCTTTGCCAACAATTTACTGTGCCTGTGACTCAGCTCTATAAGTATTATATATAAATATGTGAAACTGGTACCTGCATCATATATATATACATATATCTTTAGAAATCGCACAATCGTTACATGTCTTGACCCCACAACCCCCTCTTATCTGGTTGACTTGACGTTGCCATAAATAATATTCAATTGATTTTCTTACCTATTGCATTAAATGTAGCATGACAAAAAGTCTTTGAATCGTGCATAAAACTTTTACAAAGCTCGGCCATTCATAACGTTTATAGAGGGGGGAAAGGCAGACGAGGGAGATATATCTGGTACTTGCAAAAAATAAAATTTAATGCTTCTCATATGACATATTTAAAGTACTTGCTGTACAAATTATTAATTATTTCTTATTTGAATTGGAAAATTAAAAAATGTTATTTTTTATTTTTTTAATATTATGTATTTAATTTCTAAATATAATGGCCGACTATATATTTATCCAATGAAAAAAAAAAGGCTAATAATAATATTATATTATATGTAAATACAAATGTAGATATTAACTATTATCTTTCAATCCAATTATATATCCCTCTCTTTATCTATGTATCCATCTATCAACCTGTCCAACTTATAGTCTTTCTGTCTAACTATTAACTAGATGAATAAATCGGTTATCCAACAATTCTCCTGTTACCTGTCTTATTATTAGTTTGACTATTGTTTACCAAATTTATTAGTTTTCTGTCTATTCTTCCCATTAATGTTTGCTTCTCAATTTATTAACCAGTTATCTCTCTGACTATTTACATATTTACTCTGAATTATGTTATGTTTGTTTCGCAAAAGTTAAGAATATTTATTATTTCCGTAGTCTTTAGTGCACAGGCACTCGTAGAATACTCTAAGAAAATCAGCAGAGGGTTGTTTCTTATTGCAATTATTGTCATAGTATTAAAAAATCCGCGTTAGGACCGTGTCAAGTGCGTCATGTGCACATTTTAACAGCCAACTGTTAATTAAAGCCTTGTTCACGTCACCTGACAAAGGGTCGCGTTTCACAAAATAAAAATAAAAAACTACCTTGCCCCTCCTTTCTTGCCTACAAGTATCTATGGAGCTTGTAACCTGTTTGCCGCACTTGTTATTACCTGTTGTCCAGTGCAAATAAGGTAAAAGTCAAGCAGTCAAGACGAAAGTTTTAACGATCCAACTAAATTATGAATACTTCTTTGGCTATAAAGCTGAGTGGTAAGACGAGGGGGTAAATGAGGGGCACGCAAAATTAAATAATCAGCTAAAGTCGCGAGTTTCTTGAACTTCGCGCTGCGTTTTTCTGCTTAAAATTCAAAACAGACAATGAAACTTCAACAGAGCTGGCTTTTTATTATTTATTATTATGGCAGATATATCTGTTAATATTACGATGCATGGCTCAGCTTTTTTTTTTGTTGTTGTGTATATTACCTTGACGCACTTGCCCATCCCCAAGTCAATCAATCAAATTTCAAATTATGCAAAAACCAACAACTGTCTGTCTAACTAAGCCGCAGCCAAAGTTGTCTACAGATTGACCCATATTTGCATTTATAAATATGTATTTGCGCCTCCGCATGCAAATGCCAAACGATTTGTTTGGGAGGGATTTTCGGTAGCTTTTCAGTACAAATTGGCTCACAAT